AACCCCCCCCCCCCTCTGCCGAGGAAGACTGAATTCTATTCAGGAACCTGCTTGTTTTACGCATCAGTTGCGATTAATAAATTCACTGGAAAATTATTGAAACTTTGACGGCATTGTAGCAAAATGCAGCCTGACTGGACCAGAACCTATCATGCGTGGATCTATCTAACCGTTTGGACGTGCATTCACAAGTCCCAAAGTACCGTCGGTTGGAGGTTAAACTGCAAGTGAACAGATGCATAATCCAAAAGGAGTGTTCGACATTCCAATGTGACAGAGGTTTTCAGATCGTGTGGGGTGTTGTTTGATTCGTTGAGAAAAGTGTGCCTGTTTTCAACAGCAAAAGAATAACTGGGTTCAATTAACTATGGAAATATACAACATCTAACTGATGTTGCTTCCGCGCGGAGTAAACAAACTTTATCTTCCAACACAGTAGCTCAGTACACTGGTATCGAAGTTTGAACCTGTTTGATGGCTTCATTGCATTCCAATAGCATGTTCGATCACCAAATTCCAATGTCTTGAGAAACTTGGTTCTGTTTTGACCACACGCGAATGAGGTGTCATTTGACCTAGTAATTGTGAGCACGGTGCTGGGCGATTGGGGTAATTTGTGTATTATTTGTCCCCTGTGGCGTAGGATTCTCATTTTTGTTTTATAATAAACATATTTCATTGGATGTTGTCACTGCTTCATCATCGGTATATCGATTAGAGCCTAAGCAATAAGTAAATACCGCCTGCCTCAGAGTATCTCGTGAGTAGATTATAGGCGTTCCCAATATAAAGTACGAAATGATTAGACCTTAAGCGGTTACACAAGTAATGATTCATACAAACCGTTATTCATCTTCAACGTGGAATAAAACTTAACCGGATAAAGGCGTTGTCAGGGGAAACGAGTTGTTGTATCCAATCCCGCCTGCGGAATTCGTTCCGTTCAACTGTGTGCCTGAGAAGATTGGCACGATTACAGAACACACGTACACACACACACACACACAGGCCAACATGGTCCGACCACGCCCATCAAGTCAACCAGAATACTCTCGGATGGCTCACATCAAATACCTTGTTTTTCAAGCCTGATGAAAAGTAAAGCGATAAAAACATTGTTGAAATTGACTTAAACTGCTCCTTTCAATTATAAATGAAGCAATAGATTATTTTACCTTTGATACTGATTCTGTTCCAATCTATGTAGCTAGCACAATCACGATTCAGGCTTAGTACAGATTCATACAACAACGGCTGCCGTGGTGATTTTGTGTATGATATATTTCTACTCGGGAACTAGTTGAGACACTGCAATATCCTGACTGAAATTTGATCTTGTCATGCGCAACCAAGGTGGTCACTTGAAATAAGAATACAACACGTCGTAGTCACAACCATTGATTTCGTCCAGTTTGCATTTTATTCACTCCCACTCGGCAGTTTCTTCTTATCCATCTTTAAATATACATTCCCGCATTCAAGACACCCGAAAAAGAAAGGGATTTTCAAGTTTGATATGTATGAAAGAACGAATTAATTTATGCTGTAGAGCACGTATTGGGAATCAATGATTCCTGAAACATTTTCGATCGTTTGATCCACAACAATATGATACTATCGTCTATTTCATTCTGATTGTCATCATCAGCTTGCTCACTTCCCCCCCCACACACACACACCCCTCTTGTGCACATTCAATCGTTCATTGATCATTGTACCTTCAATACGGACATATATTGGAGTATCCCAAATGCACTTAAAAGGTTATTTTTTAAACAATCATCAAACTATCATGCTGTGGCTTTAGCTTATTGTATTGTAATGATGTCCGCCAAATATCACACACACACACACACACACACACATACGACCTGATCAGAGATTGTCATTTGTTTTCTTGTGCGACACTAACGATTGCATCGTGAAGTTCAACTTCCCCAATGTTGAAAGTCAAGTAACCCCAATGACAACCGTGTGTCCGAAATCTGGTCAGCGAGCAACTTTTGAAATTCCACATTGAGGTATACGTTTGTCATACACCATCTCATAGAGATGCGAGTTATTTTACGGGAAACTGTCAGAAACGACGTCAGTCTTTCTTTCTCTTCAAGCGGGTGACAAAGTCGGAAACGAACGGAGGTATCAGAATGGAATATCCCTGAGGAGATGCAATAGCATCACACTTGTTTGAGTAAGAGGACAAAATTCGATAGACATGTTTATGCACAGAAAATAAAGGTGATTAACTATTTCTATGCTTAATAACTCTGTCTGTTTAGATGATGAAACAGTTTGCTACACGTGGTGGCACAGTCTCATTCTCGGTTGTAAGGTTATTCGGGATAGGGAGACGAGAGCACGTGACCCCTGCATCAGATGACCACGAGCCTGTGTAACGATGGAATCGATTGTGATTAGAAGTTAGTGATCATTATGAGGCCAGGACATGTGCAAAGTTCAAACCCGTTTTTCCATTGTCCTTGGTATGGGTGTGGAAATGCGAACGTATTTTGATTCAGCGGTGGCTATTTAGAGTGTAAGTACACTTGGCTAACTACAGGAACGAGTAGATCACTGGTGCAGCTGAAACGAATCGTTCTATGATTGTAGTCGAGGTATTCTGCCTATGGTAATGACTTCACAGTCAATTGTCTCTGTCGGATGCTTGCCACAACCAAAGCGGTATGAAAATTCTGTGTCCCGAAAGAAAATTTGTGCATGTATTTAAGCTCCCCTGGCACATCTTATACATATCCCATACACTGAGAAGTCTCAACGATTGGATAGCGCAAATAGTTATGTGATCTGGAAAACAATTACAGGCGAACAATTATTTGCAATAATTCATAATCATGCCGTTATATTTTTCATGAGACGATAAAACCCGAGATGGGGACGGTAACAATAAAATGTGAGGAATCGGTTACTTTGAGGGTTTGCGTGTTTGTGTTGCACACCACATTCTCAGATCTGTGCTTCCGGGCGTTTCAGTTGTTTTCTAAAAGGTAAATTCATCGTGTGTATAGTAAATAAAGAATGAACTGGAAAGCCAGGAAGCAACTCTGCAGCAACTCTATATTTGTTTCAGTTATGCCACGTTAGTCATGTGACCCAGTTTGGACGGATCAGTGTTATTGCATGAAAACGTGTGTGTGTGGATAGGGGAGAGGGATAGGTTCGTGAACCCAGAGGATATGGAGAGCTTGGATAAGACACATCTAGCCACATAGTTCGAGGGTCAAATGTTTAAATTACATGACTTCGGCTATGGTAGAAAAATAGGCATTCATAATATTTATACCAGCTCGGAGGGACATGATAAATAACGCGGAATGCTTCACTTAGGTTAACACGATGACTAGTGTCTACCAGGTAGGCGAGAACCACACTTGTGATAGATTCCGAGCCAGTGCGGACTCAGCCAGTGCGGATGGTGTTCTTTCATGCCGACAGATAACCAGCGTGCCGCACGACCGACGTAGAGTGCGTCACAAATGCATCTGAACGAGTAAACAATCATTGAGGCAATCAACATCAGTAGTCTATCTTTATTTCGTATTGTTATCGATGGAGAACTTTTGAAAGCAAGCGAAATGACGTTGCTACTTGGTCCTTGTCCCGTTCTCTCTCATGGCATGCTTCTAAACGTCAGGATGCTGCGTTTTCCCTCTTGAACGACTTACCATATTCAGCCCTCACAGATAGGTTACCCACCCTCTCTGCCAGTCAACAACCCATACCGAAATCAACAATAGTAAAATACGTTGACGGCATCTCATAACACAGTTTATCATGGTCACTGCATGTTCAAAACATTCTGTAAAGTTAGAAAGCTTTCATATTTCTCACTCCGATAAAGAATACTTTTTGTTCCCCATGAGTTGATTGTTAGATTTGTGAATGCATGCGTGCTACTCCACTAGTTGTATTGCTCCCAAGTGATTGTTCGCGGTATGTTGAAAAAACCTTTATTTACTGACGACATCTCTGAAGCACATCTCTAAATGTGGTGGCATTGTCAGGGATAAACTGGCCGATTTTCTCATTGACAGACACTTACAAGCATGTGAAAATGTCGCCGCCAAAATACTCTCAGACACTCACCACCGATTACATAATGCATTTTCAAAAGCTGTATCTACATCATCCACACGCTCAAGATTTAAACTTTGATTTGCACGTACCTCTGCTTACCGGAATTCTGCCTTGCCATATCTATCACACCTACGTATTGACAAGGAGAAAATTTCCACAGAGTTGCGCAGATGCTTGCTTCATTGACAAATACAATCTGTTGCTTCTAGTTTCATTATGTATGATTTTGAAAATTTGAATCGACAAATATGATGTAAATGCTGAAAATACACCCATCCGCGTGCATACAGCTACCAGTGACTTGACTTGACTTGAAAGAGCAGTGTAGGTGCGCGGCTTTCAGTCGTCCTATGAGGGTTTCAGCGGTAAATTTGCCCATAAAATGAAGATCAGAGCAAAAATCCATCTATTACATCCTATCAGTGTGTGCGTTTGGTGTCTCTCCCATCATATTTCTCGGTCTGGGTAACCGTTGCTTCTGAGCAATTTAGAGATAAACATGAGTTCATCTTCCAACACTTCTTATCGGCAGATTCTTCGGGCTGTCCACACTCCAGGTTTTCTTATCAGTTTGACCTGTAATACTTTGTTGCGTCATCGATTGCACCAACCACTTGGGAATGTGTTCTGACATCCGCTGGGCCCAGGGCCGATTCATTCTGCCGATGTAAGTGTCATCGCAACTGCTCGTGAACTGGTAGACTACAGGTAAAGCAGAATTGTACGGCTGATTCTGTTTTCGATTGTCCAAACGAGGTCTTGGGGGTATGCGGAACAATCGAAGCTGTGCTGCAGGAAACGTTCGACATAACGCCGCCTTGAGATTTTGACGCACTTTGTTTATTATGTGATCATCTTTAAAGGCGTGTCCGAGGAAGTGACTGTTCGTCGGTTCTTCACAGACGGGATCAATCTGTGTCTTTCATCTGCTGTGCACATCAATGAATTTCTCGAAATAACCATTATCTAGTAGCGTCCCTCGCAGAAAGGTCTCTTCTTCCTGAATAAGGTCAGAGGAGCAAATAATTCTGGCACGATGGAACAGAGTCTTCACCAGATATCTTTTGTGTGCGACAGGAGTGAAACTGGCAAATTGTAAGTATTGCTCACTCCATGTGGTCTTCCGGTAGACGGATCTTTGCAAGATTCCATCTGATCGCCTCCTGATCCCTAAAAACATGATCTGAAAAACATGATCTAAAAACATTCAAACAACCATCCTTTTCCTCCTCAAGGGAAACAGACAGATTGCTATGAATAGTATTAAATAATGGGTAAAATGATGTTAAAATGATAAGAGTCGGTGAAAATCAAAATATCATCAACAAAACAGCCATTGAAATATTATCATTCAGTCGTCTTTCAATCACTCCTCGAAATACATCAGCTAGTGTTGAGCCTAGGGGACTATCCATTGCTACACCGTCAATTTTTTTATGCGTTGTTCCTTCAAATTCAGTGCAAACTAAATAATCAAGGGGAATAGGAAGGTGAATATTTATTGAAGAGATAAAATCACATACAAGGTCCACTGTTTCATGGAGAGGAATATTTGTAAAAAGTGAATCAACATCAATGGAAAAGATCTTGCGAGAGAGAGAGAGAGAGACAGAGGGCAAATTAAAATTGTCTAAACGTTTGCGAGTTCAAAACAGTCTTTGACACAATGAGGCGTCAAAGCTTTACGATTAATGGCCAAAATGTCGACCAACGATCGGGCCAACTGGTGCTCTGATTAATTCTTCTATAGTTGACTGTCAGTACGTATTGGGGCATTCATTGTGATTCAATTGTACAAAATGTGCACCTCCGTTTGCTTTATCTGTTATCCTACACGCTCTTTCCCTTCTCCTGGCACTCAATGTAGCCGAAAGCAACATAAACCAGTCGATGAATTCCGTTGCAATGCTATCCATACCGCGCAGAGCAGAGTAAGTGAAAATGCTACCGTTTTGCAAGGTTTTAAAATTTCCTACCAGATGATCTATACTGTGCACAGAATACCCCGGTGTTACATATCATTCCTGTCTGTGTTCAGTTTCATTTCATACAAGTCCACCGGTCGGTACGCTTTACTGCTCCAGCCAAGATATTCAAATGTGACAATCATGTTGTTTTCTATGACAAGCCATTTCAAATCAATCCAATATGACCTTGTTTTCTGTCTGTTTAGCACAAATGCTCTCGTCTCCAGTTGAATGCTACCAAATGTTTCCAATGCAATTTTAGTCTTTCGAATTCCGAGTATTCCCTGCTACTCTCCACGGTCACCTCAGTAGCCTTGGTACCAGGACACACACCATCAAATATCTGTAGAGGTCTTCATAGAGAGTAATCTACGGTGTTCTCCCCTTCGCAAACGTGTATTTTGTAAATTTCGCCAGCTATCCTTTCAAATATGACGTTTTAGAGTGAACCATTTATCTATATATATTCTTCTGTTCAAAATTAACTTTTCCTGTCATACTTTATTTTTCGACTGTGATTTTCCCTGGCCTACCTAAATAGGATTTCAATACTGTTTGCCACAGTATAAGCTGTGTTATAATTACTATTATTAGTTCTGTGTCTTTTATTTCAATAATCACGAAACTGTAAGAGATTCATTTCAGTTCATGTGAGTGATTCGCCCAATTGGTTTCTGAACTACCCCAGCCATTCGCCCAGTCTCACACTATCTGCCTGCCATTCGATCCAATTTTTTGCTGTTCAGCATTCTGTGCATATATTTATAGTAATTTAATAGTTCATTACTTAGCTCGCATTTCAGCTGACAAGAAGAAAGCCGTATAAGAATTCATTGTAAATGTGAAAAGATAATCCGCTTTGATTTAGATTTCACCATTGCCGTTTATGACACTGTTGTTACTTTTAATCCCGAGTAACAATGAAAACAATTTTATATTCAAATATCAGTCTTCTTGTTTGCCGAAGTCATTGCAATACAATAAAATACATCTGTGTCTCATCTATTCTCGGTGGACCAACATCAGCATACCAATCACCAACACAGTAAAATGTGCAGCGCCTGGAGTGCAATATCATCATGAATTCATCTTTTCCCGATTGCAGATACTGTGGTTACCTTTTGTGATGGAAATACCGTCAAAGTTCTAACAACCGCGATCATGTATATGTAACTGAGCTGCAGCTTACATCACGGATTGCATCACCATTACAAATTATCCCGAAGATTCACCACCATCTCTTCGATGGGTGAAACAACCCACAGTTGAGGGCAAACTCATTTCAACACCAAAAGAGTGTGGGTCAAAGGTGGTCAGTCAGGGTACAGAAGCACGTGTAATCAGTTGAACAATGAGGTGCGCTGAAAAAATGGAGATTTAAACAATGTTCATCAATTAAAAATAAAGTTTAATTTTTTAAAGTTGAACTTTTGGTTTCTCACTTGATAGTTTTCTAATTGAATAGAAAACATTTTTAAACGCTATCTTGACCGATTCAACTCACAGAGTACCAAAAAACTACAAGGTAAACATGGTTGAGACCAAAACTGTTTGTCATATGTAAAATTCTATCGGACAGGTCATCGTTGAACGGAACACGTCTTGGGCAATGTGTGATGCTGTGTCTTATCACCCAAGGTGCGTGACGTCTCAGAAAGGCATGTCAAATTAGACTTGATGGAAAAGAACTTGATCTTCAGCAGTGTTTTTTTGTTGTTGGCAGATCTTGGTTTGAATTTCGGTTATACCATGTTTTATTTCACAATCTGTGATTTGTACTGGTATGGCACAGTCGAACAAATGCTTTTTCCCGTTTTTGGATTTTCAAACTTACTCAACTCTTTTCAAGTTCCCGGCTAATTACTGCTTTGTTTCAGTTCTGCTGACAAGTGATGTACTTTGTAATTTCGCTGAATTTGGATTATATCAATAACGTGATATTCTATTTAAAAGCAACAATCTATAGCTTCGCACAACATCACACACGCAAACGTACACAAAACGCAGTTCCATCCAAACAGTCTTATCGGGCCATTTTCTTTGGCTATTTCAACGGTTAAAAGATGCAATGAGGCATGACGAATGTGTTGATCAACCAAAAAGTGAAACAACGGAACTTGAACATAACTTGGCTAAACGACTTGCATACACGAGCCATGGACGACTGAAGATGAACGAGCCAAATAGGTACCATAAATGAACTACTAGTTGAGGCATTCTCATCGTTTACCTAACCTGTTCAGTCGACATGAATAAAGAAGTTGAGTTGTGTCCGTGATTTGCACTTTATGAATAAATTTGTGCTTTACGAAATGAAAGACCGTCTGAAAAATGACGAGGCTTGATGCCTCTATTGGCTACAACTTCCTCCATAGGCGTGACCGTTTTGGGGCAATCGATTCCACTTCTAGAATTCAATCGCTAAGGTGAAACGTAAAAGTTTTTTAATCAATGATAAATGCAGCCAGACATTACACAGATGAGGATTGAGTTCATATTTGAACAGTTGCAATAATTTCGAAGTGCTTACTACAAACACTGGAGATATTTGTAAACCAAATTTTCACTTGTATTCAACAAGGCAGTGAAAGGTATGACACATCTTATGTGCCAAACAAGCAAGTTGAATATGGCATCACATTTTGAAGGTATGAAGGGCAAATTAGTGGTCCAAAACATCCGGAGATCATAAGTATGCAAGACTTATTGGGGATGCAACTTGACGATAGCTAACCTTTTTCACAAATCCTGGATAAAAAAAACTTTCAATATGAACAAGGAAGGATTTTTATGATTATTGCACGACTTAATTGTCATCACAACCTAGTCAGAATAAATAGTGCAGATAAGCTGTTATTAGTAAGTTCGATGATAAGTTTGAGGGTATTGGATGCAGTGTTGAGAAAATATAGCATGCTATGCGCATCACATAAATGGACCATGATTGTATGAGCAAACATGCTTCATACTGCAGCTCTGAGCGCTTGGAGTTCATGTAGGCTACCGCGGTGGTGGTACTTTAAGGTGGACGAAGTTCATTGTGATGATTCACTCTAAGCTGGAGGAACCGTTCCAATCCAGCCGCAATTCAACGGCTTTAGAACCGAAGGCTTTTCAAACAAAGGTGAAGGAGGACGAACCCGGAGCTGCAATTATAAGCCAAGTGTTTCGCGATGTCAATTCAGTGTAACATCGCAAAACATGGCACCGGTTTTTGAATACATATCAGTATTTCATTCATCCGTTATCTTTCAACGTACCTCCGGGGTTAGATTTGTAGTACTCTGTTGGTTGTGAATAGAACCAAAGTGAGATGGGAGTCCACACGGTGATCATTCCAACCGCGAATGCGAGCACTCNCTCAACTGAACCATATTACAAACTCTTCTCCGTAGCACACAGATAGGGCAATGTGTGTGACTTATCTATGCCTCGATGTCCTAGCCTAGATTTGACAAAAGTATTGTTTTATTTTTGTCTTTCTGTTCACTTTTATAAAACAAACCTTGATTTTGAGCCACTTGAGGTGTTACCCTCAATAAATTTGACTGAAGTAGTTTGCAACATCAAGTGGCACGCTATGTGCGACTAACACGAAAAAGATTAAAATACATATTTGGACCTTCCGAGGAGCGGATGATTATTCCGGACCTTCTGATACGGAAATGGGATAGCTGACTGGCTAAGTGCGCTTCCGCTTTTCTTATCCGCATTTCTCGCTTCTCGTGATCTGTGCATCCGCATAGCTGTTCACTTGCTATGGTATACCATTGTTAGTACAGTTAAATCGGTTTTGGATTCTGGTGAAACATTTCCGGAGGGGGGGGCGGCGTGGGGAGGAGGATTGGTGAAATGAAATCATTTTTAGAAAATAAAGGGAAAGTTTGACGGAAAATCACCTCAGAACCCCGTTCCGATTGTATGAGATTTGTATGAAGAAACATTTGTAAATAGGGGTTCAAAGTGTACAAAAAAAACCAAATGATCGGCTGTGATTCGAAATCAATTTTCGCTCAAACTGGACGCGAGAATTCAGGTGAACAATCGCTATTTATTTCAGGTTTTTTGATATTCGTGCTCTGTGAATTATTACTGAGAATCTGTTGGATTTTTCCCTCATTATATTCTATTTAACGTTAGTTATAAATAAATAAATCCCAAAGTCAAATCGCGTTACTGCTTTTAGTATTTCAATGTTGACAAATTACACCTAATCCAGTCGGATGCAACCTGTAATCTTCTCAAATTTTTTTTAATTATCCCTCATTCTTACAAGTGACCAGAAGACACGAGCAAAGTCAGAAATTTCGAGCCAGTGTTAAAATGATCTTCTCTTTGGTCATCTACACTAGACAAGATTTTGTTGCCTGAAGGAAACCGCTCAGTATTCATTTGGCCGTGACTGTTTTTGTGTAATGCAAATGTAGACCGGGCAGGAGATGTCAGTCTGTTGGAGTTGATTTGTCATAGACTGTGAATCTTTCTTACTGGAACTGCAATATCGAGTTGAGTAAATTACTCCCCCCCCCTACCTCGGCCCTCGGGAGCATTCAACATCCAAGACTCTATCGTCCTAATTGAATGCGTGCACAACGCATTTATCCATTTCCTGTTTTTCTTTTCTTTTTTATCAGACGGTCGGATTCCACCATTAGTGCATCGATTGCAGAGCGTCTGAAAGAATTGCGTACCAAATTTGCGAACCGTACAGAGACGATTCGCTTACAAACCATCTTGAAACCAAAAGAGGCTAGTTCCGAGGAGGAAGACGATGAAGGTAAGCAGAGATTGGGAAATGAAAAATATTCGTTTTTTCCGAAAAGATTTTTTTTATTCCTGGGTCACTAAAACCATAGGTTCCCTGGGGTCATTTGATCGGAAACGATACCTAGATACCCTGAGATGTTTGGTCAGTAGTGATCAGGCGGTTAAATTCGCCACGCGATTTATTCACTATAGTCGAATAAAAAACTAGGGTTTGTGTAACAAACTATGATTGGTCTTTCAATACAAAGAAAATTTACAGTTGAAAGACTCGTTTGACTTTGGGATTCAATGGAGAGCAAAGAAAATTACGCCAAACTAATTAGTTGTCAATGGTTTTTGGATACCATCCATTGTCATGCATTATAATTTATCCCTTTCGCTCCGTCTCGCGCACTTCTGTCTCAAGGGTTGATGTCTTGCTGAATCGCTTCATATCGAATCAGCGGATAGTGTCCACTTTGAGTGTTACAAACGTACACACCACGATCGCTCTCCGACTTCACCTGCACCGTTCCCGTTTAAGGTGAATTCAGTGAACCATGTCTCGCATGCAGCTACTCGTTTTCCCAATTCATGAGGTCCTCTCATGTCTATTGGAGACTCGTCAACGATGCGTCCGCTTTCTTTCTCAGTCGAGAGTTGAACCCCCGAACTTTCAGGTTGAGAGTCAAAAACGGGACCCTTAAGTTACACAACGAACCAAACAAGGAAACACATGGATCATTAATGCCGTTTACTGTTCACTTTGTCGTTCAACATTCACCTCTTGGTTCATCCATTCAAGTTGGGGCTCTAAAACTGCTGACTGTAATTCCTTCATCCTCAGAGAGTGTACAATATTTGAAATTCCTAATCATCATACTTTCTTCCTTCACCCAACATTAATTTGTTCAAATTGAGAATGTATAAATTTTTATCATGTCTAAAATTTCAGTATCTGAAGTACTAAACAAAGCAGTGATATTTTGGAGTAGCGAGTTTGAATTAGCTTATTCAAGAGGTACCAGACCCTCCTATTGTTCTTAGGTGTGAGTTTCACTCCTTGTAAGACCGGTACTGGGTCAATCCGAGCTTGCTCTTCTAAAATTGATTGAGCCCTTCGCACAAGGTGATGACCTTCAACCGTGTAGCCCAGGGGTTAAGGTTTGAAGTCCCAACCCGAACGTTCGAGGTTCGAGTCCTGACAGGGACACAAAAAGTACAATTTGCTGACGAGTCCCAAACAGGACGAAGCGGCTGTCCAATGCCCTTTGTCAGTTATCACAAACACTTCCATTGTATGTAAAAGCGGTGATACGTTGTTACATTTCTTATCTCTCTTTGGACGGTTAATCGATCCAGTTGTGCCAAAATATCTAGCGAACCTGAAAAGCAACCGCTCGGTAGCATTTTCAATCATGATTCTTTAAATTTGATGGTCAACATCTGGTGCAACCGGTTCAATCTATGTAGCGTATCAGGTTTGTACTAACCAATTCAATCATTCACAGGCATCAGGTGGTTTACGGTTCGAACCCGGGAAGTGACATAAAAATTACCTCACTGTTGATAAGTTCCGAATAGGACGAAATAACAATCTAGTGTTGAGAACACAGATTGTGGATGAACACGTTCTCGATTAATTATTTCTCAAGCCATTGAAATCGTAAGTATTTTCAATTGCAATCCGTGTTTTGATTACAACAATGGGTTTTGATTCGAAGTCATCCAATCTGGTATCCTTTATCGCCTGCCGCTGAGATTTTCATCCCATTTAAGGGCAATTAACCAATGGGGAACTAACGATCTTCCAGTGTCTGGTGTCTGTGATCAATGGATTCAGATAATCCAAACACGACTCCCTAAATAGACGATATTTTTTGTAATCGTAAAATAGTCCCACGGACAATGTAGAAAACGGTATTCGCGAAGAAATTTCTTTTCGATCTATCGCTTCAGGCGTTTACATATATAAGGTGATCACAATACAGATGTCTGATTGGCCGATTAGAGAGCTCAGTTAGTAACGATGATAGAGGCGAGCAAACAGATCAAAAGAATATGACAAAGCTAATGATAGTCGTGGGTGGGGGTGAGAACACAAAGATCAAATGGACAAACGTTCGAGAGATGAGCAGATAAAACGAAGGTTGTGAGCTAAGACGAGAGAGCGGGATGAAGTTACGTAATATACGGCAAAAACTATAGGTCACGCATAGCAAGTGATGTAATCAGGAAGGGACATTAGAGACAAAAACAAGAAAATTAGTTCTTAAGATTGAGAATGGTGATACTATAGGCGAGGAAAGAGGGACGAGGACGGGGGGGGGGTTGATGCTCCGTTTTATGCACAATCCATCCGCTGTCCAGGACAGGGCAACAACAGTGTCTGGATTAGCTTTTCTGCTTACATAATTCTGGATTGAAAATTCGGATTGCAATCGCCTCGGCCGTGGTTAAAAGCCGCCTTCTTATCCCTTTGGAATATCTCCGGGGTATAGTGTGCTGAACTAGACAACTTCACTAAATACAAACTGTTTTCTTAACTGTCTTCTCTTTTTGCAGGTATAAATTGTGAAGTTAGGTCATAATTTTATTGTAATATAATTATATACGTTAAATGCATATATACACGCTAGTCTGATTTACATCAGCGACTGAAGAGACCAAATGACTAATTGTGAAATTTCAAATGCGCAGCTTGAACTGTCTTCCTCCATATTGAAGCCGAGGAATATAATTTGTAGGTTGCATTATTGGTTAAATGATATTAAAAACAATTTTCAGAGGTTAGCCGTTAGATTCACACAGTAACAGATTCTCCCATGCTCATTTAACGATTCACGTACAGAGGTTTTTTTAATCCAATGCCTTCATTGCACGGTAAGTTATTCATGTAAATGGATATATATATATGAACAATTTTTTTATAACAAAACAATAAGTAAATCAGAAAGATTTTAAAGATGTCCCAAACCAGCGTTTGAAGAATTCTTTGATTTGTACCCCAGTTGTATTTTCCAAGTTGTCTTAAATTGTTCTCGCTACTTACTTCCACCCCACACCTTTCTCTCATTCACACAAACAAATCACAGAAACAGAACTATCAAAAACCGAGGCGAACGAGTTGCGTATCGATGTGGCTGGCACCGGAACCGAGGAGGCTCGACCGCCATGGTGGCGTCGTTATCCAAACCGTAGATTAGTTCTACGGCAGCCGTTTTGTACGGCCTGTTTGGCACCACATCGGAAACATTTTATCACATTGTCTGACAAACCAATCATTCGCGTGGAAGATACCAGTGTGATGAAAGAACCGTCACCAAAACCGGAAGAGCAAGAAGATCAGCGTATGCCCACCCACGCATTGTACTGATGTAATCCCATGTATTGCATAATTTCCTTGGCGAACAAAAATGTATACAGGACACATCAAGTAGTATACGAAATATTATTGCGGTTTATTGATTTCCGTTTTTTTAATCAGAAATTTACTAGTTAAATGACTGTTTTGTGATACTGCACGTAACATATAATATTGCATGCCAACGGCGTGATGATTAGGCGTAAAAACGTTAAGTGAGGCAATAAAGTAATCTTGGAAAAAAAAACTGTTTTCCCTAGAATGCATATACAAAACGCTGATTAGGTCGAAGATTTGTTCCGTCTAGCACATGTTTTATACATGCAATTATTCAGTTGAAAAAAACCAAGATTCAACGGTCATTATTCACCTCCTATTCAGAGATAAAAATCTTACCGGTGAGAATTTGGATACTCGAACACATAGCTCTTGAACTTAACATTGGGGTTTACACGGATCCGTACATTGTAATCTGCTAGCAAACCATATATATTGCGTACTCGTTCACGTTGTCCTATATACAAACCAGTTGAATGCTTTACTTTTTATCTACGGGTAGTTCCAACCAAGCGAATGCTGTTTCAGTAAAATTGACCTTTTCCCGATCCATTCAAACCCTTGAAAATGCTGTACAGTTAGTGGGCATCTACAACTTTAACGGGAGTGGTCACCGGTGCAGACCAACTTCAACCACATAGAATCTTAAAAAGGGGGCTTGAAGTTTTGTAAACTCAATATTCCGAGTTTCCCTACAGCAGGTTGTCACTCATTAAGACTGAATGATATCGGACTACCTTCACATCCTTTTACAGTCTCTCCATTCACAGTGATAATGAAGTCCACTATTGCAAGTGTTCCCATAATCTCTGAGACGTTCTTCACTATATACTGGTTTGTTCAGATACGATTGAGACATTTAACTGTCGCTGAAGCAACAATAAAAAATTACTTTTCAAAGCAACAATGAAATATACAGCGGTATAGATTTCATAACTCATATCCAGAAGCTCTTGTCTGCACAGACATAACACGCATGGAAGATTCTCATCAAGCAAAAGCGCCAGACCACGCTTTGGTTACGGTGAACGAAATGCGACAGAAAATGCTCCCTTTAAACGGTTTGGATTTATCCAAATTCACATGTTGGGCATTTTCCTACGTCCCCCTCCCCCACCCCGCAATCAATAGACACTTTGCATTGTCTTGACGAGTTGTCTGTGTAAAGTGGAATCAAATAGCGAATTTCCGTCTGTTGTACTTTCATTTAATTAAGTGAGGTTGAAAATTCACGTCAGGTGTTATATGCCTCTGTTTGCAACTGTTTCAGCGGAAATAATTGGTCAGGAGTTTCTGGAAACCATAGAATTTTCTTGTCCCATTCCTGCATGGATTCCTGGACCGAAGGTCATCTTTGCCAGCTCGTTCTCTCAGTACAGTAAGTTGAATTATTGATGTTTTTAAACCTCAAATCAAAATTGACTCGAGGGTTTATGCCAATGCTATATTTCTTATCTCCTTAATATGATTTGTTTTTAAATATAACGCCGGAAAGGCGAATTAGATGAGTATAAAATAAAATCCTGCAGGTGACAGCTGATAAGGGGCAATAATCAGAAGGAATTTTCTGTGCTTCAGATTGTATTGTATTGTATTGTATTGTGTATAACTTTTGCAAGCACTGGAGCTCACATTTCAGTTAAAAAGCATACACGCTAACCGTCACAATGTACATAATCAACGGGGAGAAAAGTTTTCACAGGCATGAACACATTCACAATCCAAGGTTAAGACAAAGTTCACTCATTGTTCGCTCTTTGTTTGTGAGTAGACGAGCAAGATACGGTATGGGTGAATTGCAGTATGCATTAATTCGAGATGAAATTTGACGAAATTGGGAGCGTGTTGAATGATGGGAATGACAAAGTGTCAGTTTTGCATACAATGGGTGGTCTGGATCTGTGAGGATCCTCTCGGCAAATTTCACACAGGAAGTTACGTGATACTCTGAAAGCTTTACAGCTAATTTATTTACAGGAATAGAAGAGACACGACTAATAATGGTTAAACCGCGTCGTAAGACTTTGAAGTCCTGTTTACTAAACCAGGAAAAATAACCGGGGAACAGCAGAGTAAGATGAGGAAAACACATTGATAAACCAAAGTAGAAATAACTGACTGAGATGCGCGAAACTGCCTGAGCTTTCGTATTTGAAATGAAAGGCGTCGCAGTTTACCAATGCAGTTGTGGATGTGGATTGATCAATGAAGATTGCTATCTATGGTTACACCAAGACATTCAACAGAGTTCTTCCTAGATAAAGGCTTGCTATTAATCACTGTGGGGTCTGTCGGATATGGAGAGCGAGCAAAACTATATAAACACTCCACACATTTACTGGGGTTCAGGGTTAGCCCCGATGAGGAGGACAATGACTGAATTTGATCAAGATTATCGGTAAAAGAGCTTAGATCAGAGTAAGAAGAAATGGGTTGGCACAACACGACATCATCTGCATATTTCAAAATTCGTGCGGGAGAAACACAGGGAATATCACAAATATAAGTGGCAAATAAGTATGGGGATAGCACAGCTCCTTGAAGGACCCCGGAGTTGTTGAAGCAGTTGAGCCGGTTCAATCGTGCAGATAACACTTTTTATAAAATCATCATCACTCATTGTTATCACCCTGGTCACATAACTCTTTTTCCATCCATTCGATCAATGGGGTGAACCGGGGAAGCTCCACTGCTGGCACAAATGGTCTTTGGGCACAGGGGGCCATTGGGCAGACGATGGTTTATCGCTTCTGTTATGGCCAGTAGCCGACAGCTAGTCTCCCTCGATAATCGCCCACGAATTTTATACAGGGGGCGGAAAGCCTCGATCATGTCCACAGTGTGATTTGTTTCAGCTAGGTGGGAAACCACGGCATTGGCGAGTGACCTAATCGTTGGGGTGTTCAGCCACGCAGGGTGATGTTCGTGAATTATTTGGGACAATCGCCTGTCCGCGCGGCCTGAGTGCGTTGCTCGACGAGAACAAGTAGTGGAGTATGCATACAAGGAGATCCAAGAGTGGGGAAATTTTTTATACCAGTATTCAGGTGGATAGATGCAAATGGAAGATCAAAGGAAATCACACCGGAAATTTGTTGTCGAAAAACTCTGTTGATGTACGCGAGAACAGATGCACGAGAGGGGAAGAAAGAAATTGTGCGTGAACAAAATACGGAGAGAGGATAAAAAAACACCTGAGTCCGGAATCCGAGAGTACGGCTCGGATAAAAGACTTGACAAATGATCATCACTTTGTTGAACAATTAGAAATCGTTTTCTGGTTCCAGCTTTTGCGGATCAGTTACATTTAATCCACAAACAGCGAACTAGAATTGAGCCAGTATTTCACAATTAGACGTTTCAAGAACAGTTCATTCAACTTAGTGCACCAAGCGATGTAAATTGGACAGTAATGACAGACTATACTGAGCACCGTTGGTTGTAAAATTTCGTTGCGTTAAGATTGGTTCAATCTGCTTAATTCTGTGCACGATTGCAAAACAAATTGGTTGTTTACATTTTTTCGGACTGGCTGCTTTAAAATATACATTCAGACGATTGGTGTGGTGATAGACAAATGCTACCAACAATTGAGCCGGGATGAGGATCGCGTATTTTGTGCATTGCATACAATACTTCAGCCAAATTCCCGACCAAGTAGAACCGTGTGCAACCACCCCAACAGCATTCTACTCGGGGTACTGAATGCTTCAATCAGAGGAAATACGGCGGAACAACTGGTTAATCGAGTGATCATTCTGTTTGTGGTCCCTAATTAAATCTGGTATTCGGGGTGAAACATCGAAGGTTTCCGGAAGATAAAACCCGAGGTCGAAAATTCGAATTCTCTCTGCTGCTATATCTACGCTTTCTTTACGTTCCAAGATAGCACCTTATTGGATGTAACACCCTCCTCTCATTACAGGTGTTTGTCATTTTGTACGCATTCAGAAGAGAGTAAAGAACTGCATTACTATAGATAACACGATGAAGCAAATAGGAATTTTTAGTTCTTCTTCGTAGCCTGGAGCTTACCGGATAAGAAAGTCTTAGGGATCTGATCGATTGTACAGAGTCACTCAATGTCAATTTCGAAGGACAGTGATATACCTTCCAACTACTATTCAGATCAACCGATCTTCGGCAACATATTGCACATGTACCCGAGCTCTTTCATTGAACAGTGCAATTCACCTACATATTTCTTTGCACTTCCTGGTATTCAACTGGCAACAAACTTAATGTGCATCGAAATCCATCCAGTTGATATCAGTCTGTTTCCACTGCTATTCTCTCTTTTTCTTCCCTATCACAGGTGCTTTCTATCTCTTGTGGTTATTGTGTGTAACGCTGGCCGTGTTGTACAACTATGTCACAATACCTTTACGTGAAGCGTTTGACATCTACGATGTTGAACCATATCGATTCTATTGGTATATTGGAAATGTTATTTCTGACGGATTATATTTGCTGGACATGATAATCGTTCGACCCCGATTGGAGTTTATTGAAAGCGGATCGATTGTAGTAAGCGATATACGTATATTGCATGTTGTTGTCAGAAATTGATTAGACATATATATATATATATATATATATATAGTCATTCAAATACTACTTATTATCAAATATGTATATATATCTTTGATAATGACTGGACAAAATTTCCCTGGAAGCGCAGGACCGGTTTTGCGGTTCTTGCCGCTCGTCAGGTATGCGCATCCGGTAATCTTTAGTCAGTTCATTTATATACTTGTACCCAGGAAGTGTATTTTCGTCACAGTAACCTTGTTTGCAACACCGGGTGACCATTGGCTAGACAGTTCTTTTAAAGCTAGTCCAATGAAGAACTAATGCTATGATTCGATGTTTTGTAAGTGGATTAGATGCTTGTAACCGCAAAAAACATGACATATATATGTGTCTATATATATATATATACATATATATATATAAATAGAATATTTCTTGCTGAACGGGAAAAAGCAAATCTTTTAATTTTTCAAAGACAATTTTGAACATTTTTCCGAATTGACATTGCCATACAGAAAACATGCGCAGACACTCAAATAACCTAATTACGGGGTCACTGATACTAACTGATTGATACCTACTGTCCAAGAACAAAGTTGTTGTTGTTGTATGTTCCTCGTTCTCCTCGAAGTACACCTTTGCACCAGTTGTTAACGCATTTTAGAATTAACTTGGAAACCGGCTATGGAATTATTTCACCTCCTGCATTTTTCAATGTTCTATCGGGACTATCGCGGTATCACAAATCTTCAATCAAATACTAGCCTGTCTTTGATGATACACGCGAAATACAAGAAGCAGTTCACTCACCGGGTTATTCAGGGATTTGTCTGATTCACCAGACAAAAACTAATTATTTGATTCATCAACACTGACGTATACTATTCAACGGAAGTCTGGAATGTGCTTTCTCCGGGCAATATCTTCGCAAATTTTGAATATTGGAGTAGATTGAAGAGCCCATCAAATTATCACTCACTAGATGTTGGTTGAGATACCAACAGTTGAACAAAGAAAGCATAAAAGTCCCACAAATGTGGATGTGACTATAAAAAATATCGAATAAGTAAAAACATCACATTAAATCAGTTACTATCTTTCTGTAATCTATACGTACGGTGATGAAAGTATCAATCAAACTGCTAATCTTATTTTATCTTATATCTTCCCTCTGTTTCGTTATTTGCTCTCTTCAGACGGACTACAGTTCATGTGCCAAGCATTACGTGAAGAGTTTGCAGTTCAAAGTAAGTCGAATAGATTCTCTGGGGGTTGGTTGGTCTGCTAGATGTGTGTGTGTGTGCATGCGTGACATAAAACCACAACCCGCGGTGATGCTTTAATTTAACAAGTCTCGGCATCAATTAGATATATTTTGTTACCATGTACATTTAAATAACTACATACAATCACTACAATACTGAGTAATGAAAGCCCCAGAGTAGTTCACATCAGCTTCTGGAGACTTTCATGATTGCCAAACAGGTGATTGTAAAGTTTACCCGTTATCCGCGCTATCCCACACATGCCTGATACCGGATGATGGTGTGCGATCGAACTGTTCGAACAAAGATGAAAACTTTGCCGTAGTAAACAAAGTGAGTTGCTCAACTTGCTTGTGGTTGGAGCATACCTTCGTGCTGTTCCAATTACAGCATCTTCCGTACAGAGTGAAGTGGCACAGTGTCCTCGAAGGTAACATGTTACTGCTCGCGGCATACCAGCTACGCTGATACAATCAACGCTGTCCCCTACTCGAATGCGGGTACCACACTCGCCACTGTTTTTCACACGTTACCATTTGCGTAGTAACGGAACATATTAAATTAGACGTATTCAAAACGATTGATTATGTGAATAAAATTATTTCAAACATTTGAAAGGCAGAGGACACCGGGTGTATTCGGGAATCAGGAAATGACAGCTATCCTTATTTGTTTCACATATGAAAGAAAAACAAAATAATCACCTCTTTAGAAATTAGTGTAATACCGCTTCAGAGTTACGTGGTAGCAAACATATAATGCAAGCCCAGTTTCACGTACGGCTATGGGCACTTTTAGCAGGACGGTGGAAACCAATGAGAACACATAAGAATCAGTAAGTGAAATCGGAATGAAAACTGGCCATTGCATCATTAGGTCGTATGCCGAAGTGTGCCGAAATCGAGACTCAGGAAAACGGCCACAGTTCGAAAATTATTTTCGGTGGAATCAATGGGATTCAATAATGTGTTCAGAGAAATGCCATTGGCAAAGCGGTCATCAATCAATCGACACTTTTGTCACAGAACATCCGTTTGAACCGGATAGCCTTTGATTGATCGAGATTGTTGTCTCCCCACCCCACCCCACCCTCGTGCTCAGTGTCTTGAAACTGTTACGCGTAGGACTAGCAACACTATTATCAATATTTTATAGCGAAATACGGTGAAGCAAACTTTATTGATCGCTGCTGAAACTGATAAGTGAGAATGTGTAAGGAGGACAGGGATTGGGCCTTTTTTTTGGGGGGGGGGACTAAAAAAGAAAGCAAACCTTTATGGTCCACATACGGAGTACTCAGTCCAAATGCGCATACACAGTATTTCAAGCCTTCTGCTCTGATTTGAAGTGACAGTGGGATCGCTACTACTATCGGTTGACTGCCATGACTTTCAGTGTCTTAAACCATCCAGTTACGGAGTCTCTCGGACCGCAACCTGGATAACGAGAGACAGCTACCAAACCTAATCACTTTGTGCATTTATTCATACCTCGTCTCGAAGGCTTAGATCAACACGGATATATAACCTCCCGTGATCGGAAGTCACCGAATTCTCTCGTTTATCGCACCGGCTGATACCAGTCGATTTTGTTGCAGCACAGAACTGGGCAGATTGGGAAATTTAAGAAAAGGGATGACAAGGTGGATTTGAAGAATTTGAGATAGACGATTTACCGTTTTACAAGAATGGCGGTTAACAATGTGGGTACAGTGGTGGCCGATGATGAATAAGCTTTGAGGAGTTGAATTGTATTCTGCTGACGAAGACAACATGTGACGTTATTTTAACTGGGTTGATAAGGCCCGGTTCAGCTCGTGGTACTATGTCCGAAGGAGAACCTGTACGTGGCAATCACATGGAACATGCACAGATGATGGTGCAATTCATCCAGAAGCATAACAAGAATATGCTTACGAATCTTGATACCCTGGTCAGATATATTGCCAGGGTCGATCACAGTGCAGATGCGGACAACTATCGGGTCTCTTAGATGTTGAATATGAGTATGCGTACCGTAAAGGGTAGCGTAACCAACCTGTAAAAAACTCGAATTGCACAGGGCTATCAGTTAAACTAATACATCTTCTTTCTTCCTTTGTGATTGGTCAACCCGCTTGCCAGATCTAAATCCGATCTGAAAGATCAGATAACCTCTATATGCAGAGGAAAAATGTGTAATGATTCATTAACACAAAAGAAAACAGCTCTATAGGGTTCGTACATGGAGTGTCCCAAGCAGTTGTCCTGAAATATATGGTATGCTAGTGACCCTAAAATAGTACTGCATGGATCCTGCAGTTGCAGTTTAGTTTGAAAATTCCAACAATTATGGTGTGCAGTTTTGTTTCAGATAAGTGTAAGAGGAACCGTTTTGTTCCGATACGTAAATGCCCTTATTTTCCAAGATCTTAAACGACGACAAAGTTTTAGAGTCATGAACCGGTGTTAATTGATACGTGAAAAAATTGTCAGACAGACATTGGGTATGGCTGTCAACATCACATGGAGTGTGCTGGATCCCTGAAATCATATTATTACTACGAATCGTCATAGCTTGTGTAGTCTCTGCGATATTTATGATCCTAAAGATCATGCAGTATGTGGAGTCCCTGTGTAAATCACGTGGCCTAGGCTGTTTTTCAAACACTGTCTCAGTTTGTGCTCAGACAGTTGACAGCTGACATGCTCGCTGTATTTCAGTCGCGTGGTGGTCGTGTCTCAACAATAGCTCAATTGCTTGCGGTTTCGGATGCACTGGCACGAACGACTCCGCCTGCCGAGGCACATTTGCAGTCTCTTTTATAACTCATGTTGTGTAAAATATTTCAATGACGCACAGCAAAACAGTTTCCTTGACATGTGAACGTGAACGAACTACACATAAGGGGCAGTATGTACTTCAATGAATCCAACACATCCTAAAGGTAATTTTCATGCGATAGATGAATGAACGGTGAATCTTGGTCCGATCTACGTACATTTGTTCTATTTCCATTGCGCACTATTCCGCGAAATGCTTTAGTTCCCAGTGGAGCATTTAGTCAAATTCGATAAATAATAAACACCTTAGAACGTTTCGACTGCGAGCTATCTCATTGTTTTAGGCTGATCATAGTTTGATCTACGGCGTTCAAGAGACTCTCAGATTTTGCAACTTACTTAAACTCGTTCATTAACAACAGTTAACGGGGCCTTTTCGAATTCCATTTAGTCATATGGTTTGATGGTGGTGATTTTACAGCTTCAATCATCGTCGTACTCTGAAGTCTGTGGTTTTATGATAAGTAGCGGGCATTTCGTTGAAATCTGCCGTGAATCCAAATGTGCACATCTTTTACGGATTTCCTCCCTCATTAAATGACTTACATCTCGTCAGTAAAATCGTCTTCGTTCATGGGAATGGTGGAGTTTGATCAACGTATCCCAGAGCCACCTTAGTATCTCATTTGACTCTCAATGGTGCAAAAGGAATGCCTCAAAAATAGAACTGAAATAATTCGAGTGTACAAGTATAAACAAGATCGGTCTAACAAGTAATATCCTTGAAATCGGGCAATCCCATTTCCCAACAAAGATACTTTATGCAGTGTAATGTCATATGTATGAGCTAAATATATAGTCAGCAAAGGAGCTTTTAGAGATAAGAAAAATTAGAGGTTTTCAGAATGGAATTTATCGTTGTGAGACAGAAATCCCATATAGAAATATTATTAGAGTCGTGTCAGAGAATAGTTGGCTGTTAATTTAGAGCGCCTGCTTTGGCGCTTACAGCCTGTTTTAAATGATTTCGATCGATAGAAGCAACAGAATCCAAAATACGCAAATTTCGGATCTCGTTTGATGGGGTGCAAGCTAAGTAGAACGCTATTCGAGTCATATGGTGAGCTCGATTTGACGTGCAGTAGCCAGGTCTGAATGAAACAGATACACTGAGCACATAATTTCACATGCAATTATTCTTTTATGTTCCCAAATGCCTTACCACCAATTGGATCGGAGGCGTATAGTTGAAGCAGCAATACAAGCAATAGTGCATTTTCAATTTTCAAAGTCAGTTTGCTTGACCCATTCGCGTTGACCAAATCCATCCTTGTGAAGTGAAGTGTTCTCTGAATCACTCGGCAAAAAAGCGAAATCACAGAGAGACAGGGTGGTCAAACATCACAGGATGTAGGGGTATGCACTTTGTTTCTTCTCTTGTTTATCGCTAGAACTGTATGTGTTAGAGAAGCATGAGCTAGTCTTATCACAACCCCAAATGTGCCCGGTTCAACTTCCGCCGTCTCATAAAAGTATTCTCATTGTAGACAGTGATCAACTTGACTCAAATACCTACAAGAAGGAAGCTAATCGTTTGCTAATCGTTTCTTGTACGTTTTGCCAACAGTTTGATATCATATCTGTGCTACCATTGGACCTGTGCTCGTTCATTTACGGCCAGGAAATGGCGCGATTTCGGGTTTTGAGAATGTTCAAAGTGAGTTTTATGTCATCCATTCTCACGATTTGTGGTAGTGTTGTGAGATCCTACTCACTTTTATGAGTGGTACGCAAGAGAATGCGATAGGCAGTTTCATTCAAACATTGAAAAGCAAACAAGACCTATGGTAGCGAATTGCTGTGTTCAGTCTGGTCACTAAAAGAATACGCATTTACTAGGTTAACGTTCCATTATCTATCCTGCGTGCTTGTCAGAGTTCTGAGAACTCTTTTCCAAATGAGACATTTGGTTGTATGTGTGCCATTTTATCGATACCCTAACCAGTATTCATAATAAGAGTAGCATTGGTGATAACAATAGAAATAATACTAGTATTGTGAGGTACTACTCTCATTAGTGAGTGTATTCGGTGAGCGCATGAAGAGGCAATGAGCGGATTCTCACGATCAGTGGTAGTTGAATTAAGGATTCACTACTGCAACCAGAAAACAGGACAAGAGATTATCGACCCGCATCATGAACCTTTCATGAGAGTACTAACCAAATGTTGCACATTAGACGTTTCGTTTTGTACAATCCTATTTAGCCCAATTCTCGTTGTTCCTCCCACCATCGTTTCTCTTGATCCCGGTAATTGTCCTGAGGAATTAGTACAGTAGTATTTATTTATTGTATGCAAAATACGATAAATTTATTCGCTGCTTGTGTTAAGATATTTATTTCCAGTTGATGTTTTTTGCACATATCAATCAGTCTCATTATTTATTGGACCCGCTCAAGGTCACACAGCTCAATTGTTTAAGGCCCAGTTGTCCTGTTTCTCATCCCATATGAACGGAAATCCGGTGACAAACGACTAATCATAGTATGACATTGATTCTCTTTGATTGAAAACGGCAAACATCAGTAGTTTGGGTCGTTTCCTGACAACCTGATAACCATCACACGTACAACGAAGGATTATTTGTTCGTAAAACAAACAAACCAGGAATATTATCGGTGATATCGGTGATAAGACGATTGTCAACCCAGTTCATCATCGTTCAATTTAAAAAGGAGAGTTGGAGTGGTCCACTATTACTATTATTATCATTATTATTAATATTATAATTAGCAAGAGAGAGTTTGTACTGCCAAAAGGACAATTCCAAAACCGGGATTGCAAATAACCCATGTCGTGTTCTCAGGAACAAGCAAATCAGAAAATAAACTTTGAGAGATGAATCCCTTCCGTATATTGTCATTTGTTGCTTCGGTATCACCTTAAAAAAGATAAAGAAAACATGAAATAAATAAAAATAAACCTATTTAGGTTGGATGGTTTGTGCGTGTATTGTTGCATATAACAGGTTACAGCCAAGTTAAACCAAATATTTTATCTTTTATTTCATTATCTTTTATCGAATACATAATGATACTATTTTCAGGAAGGGGGAAACAGTCAATCAGAAGGCTATCGTGCAACACACATGGGGAAATTTAGGCTGCAGTGGTGGTGAGATTCGAACATATGTCTTCCGGAGCGATAATTTGGTCACCTTACCACTCGGAAACCATCGCCCATATGTAAAGATCCTACGCTGTTGGACACACAGGATAAGCGATCGACAATGCCTCAGCTATCCTTATTCGGTGTTTGTCACCATGACGCAACAAAACCGAGAAAGCATTTGCAGGACCTACCTCGTGATCGATCGCCTTCAACCAATGGTATACGTGCGCGACCGATGAGAATAAACAAAAGAAACTCCTCTCGCGGTGCTTGTCTTCTGACCTACCTGTTCAAATTTGAGTTGTTTTATTGCAGTCGAAGGTCAACTAAATTCAAGGAAATCTGGTCGCTTCCCTTAATTTTTGAATCGTACTGTAGTGACGAATTTAACGCAAAAGATGTTTCCAGTGGTAATGAGGCGTTCCATGTTCCGGGGTACCCAATTAAATGGACAACTTTGAGTGGATAGACCAACTTATCTCATTGGGGTACCATTCACCTCATCGGGCACTATCATGCACCCAATTATCACTTGTGGCTCCGTGAAACTGAGACAGGCATCAACGGTCATAAACCGGCAAACCGCTGAACAGGTGGGTTAAGCCATGTTCAGTGTAACTGCGGTACACATGCCTTGATTAGATGGCTCACGGCATCCAAAGACAGCTACTCCTGAACGAGTGGACGACGTCTATTACATCATCCAACAGTTATAAAGGAAGTCGATTCAACTAAGGAGGTGTGCATGAACCCCTGGGTTACAGCCACATGTATCGAACGGCGAATAAGCTCCTAGGAAGCCACCGATAACCATGCACCAAAATGCTGTCTTACTAATCGCATTTGGCCGCACAAGGGCTCTCGAAAACCACCTGGCCGAATTTGAGGACATCTCTTATACCAAAGCCCCCACCAAACTCCATGATCACGTTGCGTACACACTTACATTGTATTGGTTTATCTTTTCCAAGGAGCTAACTGCAGCAGAGCAACTCAAATGTGTGAACCGAGGCTACATTAAACAGTTTGGTATGGTTCCTGGCAAAACCTAGTTGTTTCTTAAAATACAAATTGCCTTGCGATTTGAGAACAGCAGACAGCAAGTTGCTTAAAATATAACCCCTCATATTCAATGAACAACACGTGACTGATCAGACTTCCTATGAACTTTGTGACCCATCCAGTGTGCTTTTTTAATCAGGTTGAATTAATCTCTTGAATAAGTACTGCAAAATAACAAGCGCTCCACCCCTGTATTTGTGTGATTTCCAACCACGACCAACAGGACCGTTGTACTTTACTGAAAAAGCGAACAATTGTACAACCACTTATCATCATTATCATCATCACTATATTGTTTTTTTTAAGAGAGGGTGGCGCTGCACCGCCCCACTTAGGGACAAATAGGGATGGTTTAAAGTCGAAAGCCATAGTTTGGATTCCAACTCACGAAGTCCAAATCCATGTGATTGTAAATTGAATGAACATACTGTTATGACTTGAGCAGCTGGAACGGGTCCCTGTTAGTTACTTTGCTTGTCTGTACTTGGTAGCAAGGGCATCAGAGATATCTACATAGGCAGAACAGAAAGCAAGTTACGTAATCGGGTTTTAGAACATTTCGGACCGAGTTCAACGCAAGGTTGCCATGTAAAAGTTTACACAGCCGGTAACTAGTAAGGACCATACTTACAAACCACCATGTTCATCGATAATCAAACACTGTTTGATGACGCAACATCTTATGGATCGCGACAAAGCATTTTGAGCGATTTTTACAAATGACAACAACAGAATGCTCAAAATCGCCAAGGCCATTGCAATCAACCGATGGAAGCCAATTCTAAGTCAACAAAAGGACTTGTTCATCAC